GAGATCACCGTTTGGGAGTCCAGGTTGTTTCCTTTCTCTTTGGCTGCCTTGTGGCCTGGAGCAGGTTAGGGCCGGTTTGCTGCTATTTCTAGGTATGATTCATTGAAAAAAATAAATGCGTAAATATATGTAATATGCTACCTTTTGTCTAGGAAAAATATGAAAATAGAAGAGAAGCACACACACATACACACACATACACACAGACAACCAAAATGACTTTTCAGTCCAATATATTAACTTACAAGCATCTCCAAGTCTAAGGAGAAGAACTGACAACCAATCCTACCGTAGGTTCGTTTCTCACAGCTTTGCGAGGATAACAAGTCTGTAAGATGCTGTGTGAATTGCAGGAGTTAGTGAGGACAGGGGTGCTGGGAGTCCAGTGTGGGTGGGAGGGTGAGGAGGAGGGGTGTGGGGTTAAGTGGGAAACTGGAATTGAAGACACCAGTAGGGACTCATTATTATCAACATTATTTTAATCCTCACCCAAGTATATTTTCTCATCTTATGTTTAGAATGAAGGGGAGAGTGTGGCAACCCCTCTCACGTCCTGCATGGCTGAGGGTTCCAGTTCAGGGTTCGGGTTCTGGGGAAGGCCACACACAAATGAAAAGAGACTAGAAAAGTACCCATTTGGGAATATTGGGGGACAGGTGAGAGCCCACCTCTATTGGGAAGAGTGCTTGCTGCTCTGGCCTTGCTATCCCTTTTATCGAGACTGTGGGATACACCCATAGCCCTTGGGCAAGACACTCCAAGAACAGAAATTTACATAAAACAAGAGGTGGAGCCTGCTTTAGCTAACCATGTTTCAACTAAGCAGTGAGTGAACTAGTCCTGACCTTCCAGAGCAATGAAGGGTGTTGACAATGATCAGTTTCCAGCAGGAGAGACAGAGAGAAAAGCCCATGTGAGAGACACACGGCTGGTTGCCTCCCGAAGCCTGCGATGGAGGCACATGCCCTGACCATATTGAAGCAGGGACCCTTCAGTCCGTAGGCCAAGGTTCTACCCACTGAGCCAAACCGGCTAGGGCCTCATTCTTTTTAATAGATCTAGACATGTGTAGGGAATATATGTATTTCCTGAAGTCAAAGACCGATCCACGTGTAACAATAAACACACCCGGTGGGCTGTTCTTGCTTGCCAAATGCCATTCCCCAATGAAAGAACCAGGCTCTTCGGAGAAATAGACAATTTTCAAGGAGCCCCAATTCCCTGGATGAGCCCGGAACACGCTGTGCCAGAAAACAAGGAAATGCTCCAAAAAGTCTGAGAACATCTCCAGAAGCAGCCGCTTCGAAGGGGCTCTCATAGGCCGGATCGCAGAACATTGGAACATCCAGATGAATGAAAATGGTGGTGGATTATAAAGTACCGAGTAACAGCCATGAGTCCATATTAATTGTACGCCACCAATAAATGTAGAATGAATGACTGAATCTATAATAATAAAAGCGCAATATGCTGACTAGACGGGACAGCCGAATGACCTTCCCCAGGAAGCCTTGGTGGAGGGTGAGGCAGGGGCAGCAGCCATGGTGGGTGAGGCTGAAGCAGAGATGGGTGAGGGCCACCAGGCAGGCAAACAGTTAGGAGCCAGCGGATTGCAAAAGGGATGTCAACTGCCGGTGTAGGCCCAATCCTGCAGGGTCCCAGATTGGAGAGGGTGCAGGCTGGGCTGAGGGACCCCCCCCCAGGCATGAATTTTGTGCACTGGGCCTCTCGTTAGAAAAGAAAGATTTGGCAATCATTATGCAAGAGTCATCAACAGAATGACTATCGTGATAAAGATTGATGAGGAACAGGATATTTACAAATTATCTTCAAATTATCTCCACACAAGTCACTTATTAATCACAAGGGGCAAACCCGGTAAACCCCTCCAGAGGCAGACGGTTGTGGGGTCGAACCCTGGGTTCAAACTAAGACCACTGGAGGCTGATGTTGTTTGGAATTTTCTGCTGTTCTTCCTAGATAAAATGTTGCTTTCTAGTTTGTTTTAGCCCGTTTGAAGAATGAAGATAAACTTAGCTGTCTGACCTTGCAGGCCAGAGACCAGATATGCCCACAATCTCAATACCATGCCAGGTGCACTTTTTTTTTTTTTAATATATTTTTTATTGATTTTTTTACAGAGAAGAAGGGAGGGAGATAGAGAGCCAGAAACGTCGATGAGAGAGAAACATCGAACAGCCGCCTCCTGCAGCCAACGTACATGCCCTTGACCGGAATCGAACCCGGGACCTTTCAGTCCGCAGACCGACGCTCTACCACTGAGCCAAACCAGTTTCGGCTTTTTTTTTTTTTTTTTTTTTTTAATTGGATAGAACAGCATTGTTTTTCTTTTTTCTTTTTTTCTTTTAATATATTTTATTGATTTTACACAGAGAGGAATTGAGAGGGACAGAGAGTTAGAAACATCGGTGAGAAACATCGACCAGCTGCCTCTTGCACACCCCCTACCGGGGATGTGCCCGCAACCAAGGTACATGCCCCTGACCGGAATCGAACCCGGGACCCTCCAGTCCGCAGACCGAAGCTCTATCACTGAGCCAAACCTGTTTCGGCAGAACAGCATTGTTTTCAAGGCCAGCATTGAGATAACCTCTAAGTGCACTTAGGGGTGGCTCTTTCATAAAAAAAGGAAGTTCTGCCTGTAACCTTGCTTAGAATTTGAATTCATCCTATTTAACAGACGGCTGCAGCACGGCACGCATGTACTTCTGCGTTGCCCTCCCATGGCGACTCTGGACTGGGCTTTGTGGCTTGCTGTGGCTAAGGGAACAGCAGCAAATGTGAGGCAAGAAGTTGAAAGCATGTTCTCCCTGGGGCTTGCTCTCACTTGCTGACCGGCCTGCGGCCCCCACGGGAAGAAGGCTGGGTTGGCTGTTGGAGGAAGCCTGGGTCAGTCTTGGGAAGAAGACGAACCAGGTCAGCTAAGGTCCCTCAGAGACCGCCTGGGCCCTGCTGGCTGCCGCTGTTTGAGAGATTCCACTGGAGACCGGAGACCCGGAGAACCAGCTGCCCCGCGGAGCCCAGCCAGGATTGCCGATCCAAAGAATTGTGAGCAAATAAAGGGCCATTATTTCAAATCACTGATTCAGGGCACTGGTTACCCAGCACTGGGTAACTGATACACCACCTTAGCCAAGCAGTCACTGTTAACACCGCCAACACTGAACACGTGGCCTCCAGTGCCTCCAGGCGTGGTGCCGGCGGAGGGCACCGCATTCAATGCTTTGGTGCCCCAACTGGGGATCAAACTTGTAACCTTGGCGTTTGTCTTGACAGAGATTCGAACTCGAAACCTTTCCGTGTACAGGATGTCTCTTCAAGCAACTGAACCACATCTGCCAAAGCAGGTGTTGCATTTTTTAAAAAACAGAAGGCAAAACGATCCTCCAGCATGAAGATTACGGCTCACTTTTCTGTGATGGCTTTCTTGCTTGGTCTGAACGAACCCTCATTAACTCTAGGGTAAGCCTCTACCACAAACTGCGTAGTTTTAAACAACAGGTTCTGTTCTCTCACAGTTCTGGAAGCTGGGATCCAAAATCAAGGTGTCGGCAGGGCCATGCTGCCACTAGGACTCGGGTAGAATCTCTCCGTGCCTCTTCCCAGCTTCTAGGGGTGACAGAATCCTTGGCTTGTGGTTATATCACTGCAGTCCTTTCTGTCATCACATGGAGTTCTGTGTGTCTCTTTCTCCTCCTCCCGCTTCCCTCCTCCTCCTCCTCTTCCTTCTTCTTCCAGGCATTTTTTATTTTTCCCTTTTATTTCATTTTTATTCATTTTATTTTTTATTTTATAAATATATTTTATTGATTTTTTACAGAGAGGAAGGGAGGTAGATAGAGAGCTAGAAATGTCAATAAGAAACATCGACCAGCTGTCTCCTGCACACCCCACACCAGGGATGTGCCCACAACCAATGCACATGCCCCTGACAGGAATCGAACCTGGGACCCTTCAGTCCAATGATCCACCACTGAGCCAAACTGGCTCTGGCCATTTTTATTTTCTTTTTGCTTGCTGTCAGAGGGGAAGGGAGAGGGAGCAAGAGATAGAAGCATCAATGATGATAGAGAATCATGGATTGGCTACACCTGTACGTCCCATACTGAGGATCGAGCTCACAACCCGGGCATGTGCCCTGATGGGAATCAAACCTGTGACCTTCTGGTTCATAGGTCAACATGAAACCACCGAGCCCCACTAGCCGAGTTGTGTGCCTCTTTCTTTTTTTTCTTTTTCTTTCTTTTTTTTTTTTTTTTTTTTTTTAACACGTACACGTTTATTTGGTTCCTCCAGTGCCCGATGGCCGTGCCAGGGGCTGCCCTCTATGCTGTGGTGGCCTAGAGCTACCCGGGGGACCCGGGCTTCCCCTGTGGAACCTGGGCTTCTATGGCGCTGGAGTCTCAGAAGCACACTCTCCGGTCAGTTGTGTGAGCTTTCCCCCCTGAACCTACAGCTCGTCTCCCACCCTCTAAAACTCAACCGCCGCCGACCAATTCCAAGAAGCGCCCCCCCCCCCCCCCCCCAGCGCGGGCACCTGGCATCAGACCCCCCTCCGATGAAAGGGTGCGCGGCTGCTCAACAGGGACTCGCGAGGAGGTGGCTGGCACTGCCCGGCCTGCTCCTCTGACGGCCGGTCCCAGCCAAGGCGAGGACGACAGTGAACCCAACCACGTAACCACGTCGCAGACAGCCCAGGCGCGTGCCGCCCACAAGGAGGCAGCCGGCCCGGGCCAGGCCCTGGCACTGACGAGGCGCTTAGTGGCCGGCACTGGCGGGGAAGCGGCGGCGGCGCCTCCTGCACGCCACCGGCCGGATGAAGCGCTGGAGGCACGTGTAGTCCCGACGGCACCGCGGTGCTGAGGGCGCTGAGCTCGGCCGCGTCGGGGTGGTTCACAGCGCGGAGAAGAGTCCTGAGTTCGCAGCGCTCGGAGTTTCCGCACCGAGTTCCGCTCCGGAGGAACGGGTGCGAGCAGCCTCTACCGGAAGAGCCGGTAGGTCCGGGGCAGGCGCCCATCTCTGCTGGACAGCGCCGCCTGGATGTGCTCGTAGCTGGGCAGGTCACTCGGGTCCCCCAGGGCGGCCACGGCCGGCTTCCCGCGCAGCATCTTGGAAGCCACGCGCTTGATGTCCTCCGGCCTCACGTCGTGGATTAACGCGCACAGCTCGTGGGGCAGCTTCCTGGAGCGGGTGGCCAGCACCTGCCGGCCCACGCCCTCGAAGATCACGGGCCGGGCCTCCAGGTTCATCATGAGCATGGACATGAGCTGCGTCTTGGCCCGCTCCAGCTCCACCACATCCACGGTCCCGCCCATTAAGATGAACTCCTTGGTGATGATCTCCACCATTTCTTTCACCTGTCTGGGGTCGGCGCTGGCGTGGATGCACAGGAGCCCCGTGTCCTCATAGCTGTGGTGGTAGGCGGTGGCGTTGTACATCCAGTGGTGCCGGTTGAGCACGTTGAGGTAGAGCCGCGTGAACATGCCCTTGCCGGGCCCGCCGGCCGAGAAGGAGCCGCCGCCGCCCATCATCATGTTGAGCACCGCGAAGGGGATGAAGTCGGCCTCCAGGAAGGAGCAGCTCTCCAGCCCGATCATGATGTGCGTGAGCTCGGGGAACGGGGCGGGGCCCAGGCTGACCTTGGACATGTCTCTCTCCAGCTTGACGACGCCCCCCGTGTACTGTGCGACGGAGCGGTCCACGTCCACGGCGGCCCCGCTCCCCCAGGCCGGCCGGGCGCCCAGGAGGTACTTGCGGGCGCACTCCACCAGGTGCTCGTGCCCGATGCCCACGCCCGCCAGCACCATGCGGTCCGGCGTGTAGTAGTTCCTCAGGTAGGAGTGCAGCACGGCCCGGTCCATCTTGGCGATGTTCTCCGGGGGGCAGAAGCGGTGGAGGCCGACCGTGTTCTCCCTGTAAGCGGCCTCGTGGATCATCTCGGTGAGGAGAGGCTCCGGGTCCGGCCGCATGTTGAGGTCCTCCAGCTCAAACTGGACAGCCAGCCGCGCCATCTCTATCTCCTCCTCTGTGAGCCGGGGGTGCAGAACCACTTCGGCCAGCAAGCCCACCACCGTGTCCAGGCCTTTGGAGTCGGCAGACACCGCGTACATGGTGGTGTCCCTGGACGCCTGGCAGTCGCAGATGCCGCCGTGCCTCTCCAGGGTGTGCAGGATGCCGTCCTTGCTGTCGAAGCGGGCCGTGGACGAAAATGCCAACTTTTCCAAGAAGTGAGCGATTCCACTCAGGTATTTTGCTTCATATCTTGACCCTGAATTAATAAGAATTCCCACCGTGCAGAACTGCCCGAACTTGTTCTGGGAGGCCACGCGCAGCCCGTTCTCCAGCGTGGTGACTTTGGTCTCAAACTTCTCCTGGCCGTCGACGGTGGCAAAAACGGGCGTGGGCACCCCGGGCAAGGGGGCAGAGAGCGGGATGTTGGGGTAGGCGCCCCCACTGCTGAACTGTCTGTACCCAGGGGCCCCAAACCGCAGCCGCGAGCGGCCCCAGGCGCGCGAGCCCCGCAGCAGCCGCGTCGCCGCCAGCACCACCGCCGCCATCTTGGGTCTCCGCCCCTCGCTTCTGTGAGCCTCTGTCTTTACATGGCATTTTCCTCTCTTGGGATAGCCGTGTCCTAGTGGATTAGGGACCACTGTGGCGACCTCACCTTAACTTGGTTGTGTCTGCAAAGATCTTATTTCCAAGTGAGGTCGCATTCAGAGGTACCAGGGCCAGGACTTCAAACCACGTCTCTGGAGGGACCCAAGCCAGCCCTCAACACTCACAACGTCACCTACGTAGCCTTTGTTTCCGATGGGCGCTTGAACGGGATTATATAGAAAAAGGACCACCCCAGGTGGAAGGCTTTCCCACAGGATAGCTGGCACCTAGTCTCAGAAAATGCCTACAGAGAACGGCCTGGGCCCTGTTTCAGGTTAAAGTAGGTAAAGGGCCATAACCTCCGAATGGAATCCGTGGCTTTGAGTGTTCCTTTGCTATGAAGGGTGTTGCAGGGACAATGGGTGAAAACGGAATAATGTCTGCAGAGTACATGAGAAAAATATGGTGCCGGGTTCATTTATCGATTTTGATCATGGTGTTGGGGTTTAGGTAAGAGGTCCCTTTGTTTCCAGGAAATACACCCGGAGGAAGGAAACTTCCTGAAACAACCAACCAAACAGGATCTGCCATGGTCTCTTCCACCTAGCCCGGCCGCACCGCCCTCCCTGTCCCCTCCCGCCTCCGGCCTGGCTGTGCCCGGGCTCCGGCCCCTCAGGGCGCCCGCGGCCCGGGCTCCGCGCTCCCCTCTGGGGGCGGCTCTGCCCCTCCGGCCTCAGGAGGGACCCGCTGGTCCGGAGGGAGGAGCCGGCGGCCTGCGAGCGCCGAACCCCGGGCCGAGGGGCCGTTTCTGTCCGTCCGTTTCCCAGACGCGCCCGCCCGGCCCGCGTGTCCCCCCGGACGGACCGCGGCCGCTCTCCCGCCCCGTTCCCTGCCCGCGGCCCGGCGGGGCCTCCGTCTGAGCGAGCGGCCGCGGGGGCGCCGCTTCTGGGCCCCAAGGGGAAGCGGACACGGGTGCGTGCGGTTCCGGGGACGGAAGGGAGAGCGAGCCCGGCCTGGGGGTGGGGGCCGTGACAGTTGCGGGCGGCGGGGCGGCGAGCCCGGGCCCCTCCCGGGTCAGGGCCCTCGTCCCCTCGCGGCCAGCAGCGCGCGGGGCCGGATGGGAACCCGGAGACCGGGCGCCGGGCTGTCAGGCCGGGGGCGTGGCGTATGCAGATGAGCAGGTGCGCAGGGGCTGCCGGGCCACGCAGCCTGCGCCCCCACGTCCTCGCACCCGAAGGTGGCAGCGCCCCCGGGGTTGCTGTGGCGACGGGCGCGGTGGGCGCTCGCGTCCTGGGGCGGCGGGGGCGCAGGGGCGTGCGGAGCGGAGTGACCGTGTGTGTAAAGTGTGGCAAGCGTGGGGGTGAGGGAGGAGGCGGGGTGTGCAACTCATACTTACCTGGCAGGGGAGACACCATGATCACGAAGGTGGTTTTCCCAGGGCGAGGCTTATCCATTGCACTCCGGATGTGCTGACCCCTGCGATTTCCCCAAATGTGGGAAACTCGACTGCATAATTTGTGGTAGTGGGGGACTGCGTTCGCGCTCTCCCCTGGTCTTCTAGGTTATAAAGGAAGAAACAACAGTTAAAGTGAGTTGTCTACTCACTTAATGAAGCAATTAATGTCTAGGCGGTGCTTTCTCTTCAAAGTGCAGGTTGGGCATGAGCGATCCTGAAAGCCCCCTTTTTGCAGAAGCTGCTTCTTGTATTATAATAGTTTCTTACAGGCAAGGCTGTCTGATCTAGAGAGCTTTTATTTTTATCTGTTTTTTTTTTTTTTTTTTTTTTTTTTAAATACATTTTATTGATTTTTTACAGAGAGGAAGGGAGAGAGATAGAGAGATAGAAACGTCGATGAGAGAGAAACATTGATCAGCTGGGGATGTGCCCGCAACCAATGTACATGCCCTTGACCGGAATCGAACCCGGGACCCTTCAGTCCGCAGACCGACGCTCTGCCACTGAGCCAAACCGGTTTCGGCTATTTTTATCTGTTTCTTATTTTTTAAGTAGTGTTACTTATTTATATACTTAATATTTATTTATTTATTTATTTATTTATTTATTTATTTAATTTTAGTGAAAGAAAAGGGACATAGAACATTAATGGAACACCAATCAGCTAACCCCATCACAAATCCCCCCCTCAAACTGGTGATCTAGACCGCAACCTCAACACATACTGGGCCAGGATTATTATTTTTTAAAAAAATGTATTTTATTGATTTTTTTACAGAGAGGAAGAGAGAGGTATAGATAGTCCCCGAAAATAAGACAGTGTCTTATATTAATTTTTGCTCCCAAAGATGCGCTAGGTCTTATTTTCAGGGGATGTCTTATTTTTCCATGAAGAATACGGTACACATTTATTGTTAAATGAAAATAAAGGAAATTTATTACCTGTATATGGTACGGTAGTACGGTCGTTGTCAACACAAACCAGACAAACTGTGAATCCTACAGTATCAAGAATTTACTCATTTATTTAATGACAATCATGTCATCATCTTCTGGAACATCATCGTAACAATCCAATTCCTGAATTTCCTGGTGAATTTCTTGAGACTCCATTTCTTTCAGAATCAGTGGACCAAATCTCTCATGTTTAGCCTAGGGGGGGCCTTATTTTCGGGGGGATAACTTATATCTCACTCAGAAGGAAACCTGTAAGTAGGTCTTATTTTCGGATGATGTCTTATTTTCGGGGAAACACGGTAGAAACTTCGATGAGAGAGAAACATCGATCAGCTGCCTCTTGCACACTCTTTCTGGGGATGTGCCCACAATCAAGGTACATGCCCTTGACCGGAATTGAACCTGGAACCTTTCAGTTCGCAGGTGGACGCTCTATCCACTGAGCCAAACCAGTCAGGACTCATCATTGATATTTCTATCTCTCCCTCCTCCTTCCTCTGAAATCAATTAAAGTAATATATTTTAAAAATTGACAGAGGAGGCAAATTATTTTTTCACCCAAAACTGGTTTCTCAAAGTGGTATTTAAATACCGAAAATTCTATGCATATAAGTACAACCAATGGACATAAAACTTTGGGGAGGGAGGGTATGTATAGGAGGGAGAGAGAAGGGCAAAAAAAAAAAATCAATAAAATATATATTTTTTAAAAAATTGCCGAAACCGGTTTGGCTCAATGGATAGAGTGTCAGCTTGGGGACTGAAGAGTCCCGGGTTCGATTCCGGTCAAGGGCATGTACCGTGGTTGCGGGCACATCCCCGGTGGGGGATGTGCAGGAGGCAGCTGATCGATGACTCTCTCTCATCGATGTTTCTATCTCTTTCCCTTCCTCTCTGTACAAAATCAATAAAATATATTAAAATAAATAAATAAAATAATTATATTAAAAAAATAATAAATTCTGAAAATTCTGAGTCCAGACGTGACGGGACCATCCCGCCGGTGACCGGAGGCCCGCCCGGCTCCCGGCAGCAGGCTGGAGCCCGGGGCCGGGGCCGGAGGAGGAGCGGCTGGCGGGCCGTCCCCACAGACCGGGCAGCGGGCTGTCCGGGGCCGCCGGGCCGGTGGCTGCCCACCTTGTCTCTGGTCCCCCTGCCCGGGCTTGGAGCTGCCCAGACGCCAGGCTGAGCCCCGGGGAAGGGCCTGCAGCAATCCCGCCTTCGTCCGGGTTCAGCGGGACTTTAGTCAGGTCTTTGTCAGGCCCCCTGGCTTCAGGCCGGGACCCTAACCTCTGGCAGCGTTTCCCCTCCCGGTCTGTGGCCTTCCCCCAGGTCCTCTGGGCCGGTGGCCTCCTGCCTGGAGGATCGGCGGGGCCCAAAGAAGTCTGTGTCCTCTCCTCCCTCACCTCCCGGTGCTGCCCAACCAGACTCTCCCCGGGCTGCGTGGTGCTGCTGGCCGGCCGAGCACCGGGCGCGCTGTCCGCCGCCCTGCTCCTCTCTGCCCTGGAGGCCTGGCTCATCCCCGAGCACCAGGAGCCGCTCGACTTCCCTGTGAGCCGGCCCCAGCTCCCTCTGGAGCATGTCCTGGCTGTCGTGGCAGGGGTGGCAGCCAGGCGGTGGCCTGCCGGAGGGGACGAGGGCCTGTAGTGCCCTTTGCGGCTGCCGTCCCTCTCCTCCGGCTGGGCCTGGGGAGAGAGAACTAGATGGGCAGCGCGCCTTCTCCAGGACCTGAGCCGGGGCCTGCGCTGCCTCCTGCGGACCGCCCTGTGCTGCTGCTAGCACCATCCAAGCCCTGTTTGATGTGCCATCTTCGTCTTTGTCTTCCTCCGGACACCCGTGCTGGACCCGCACGGGCCCCACTGGGCACCATCTTCTCCAGCCTCACGGCGGCCCGCCTGCTCGGCTCTTCCTTGCACGGCATCGCTACCTGGAAGAGGGACCACCTTGCGCCTATGCACCTGCTCTCCCTTGCCGTCCTCATCGCTGTCTTCTCCCTCTTCGTGCTGACCTTCTCCACCAGGCCAGGCCAGGAGAGTCCCGTGGGGGCCCTCAGAGCCTTCCTGCTTATCGAATTGGCCTGCGGGCTGTTCTGTCCCAGCAGGAGCTTCCTGCGGAGAGAGGTGATCCCGGAGACCGAGCGAGCGGGTGGTGTACGCCGCTGGTTCCGGGCGCCCCTGCACTTACCGGCCTGGCTGGGGCTCCTCGTCCTTCAGGACAGCGAGCGCAAAACAGGCCCTCGGAGCGGGAACGTGTTCAGCATCCGCTCCGCGGTCACGGTGATGGCTCTGCGGGCAGTGGGGGGCTCTTCACCTGGTGACGCATGATGCTGAATTGCGGGTGTCCTCACCCACGGGAGCCCTCTGGCCCTGAGCTCTAACTGCTTCAGGACAGAGGGGCTGGGACAGACTCTTCACTCCCACCTCTCCACGGCTGTACAGACCGCTCTTTGACTGCCTGCGGGACTATCTGGCCCCTCAGCCTGTTCTCGGGGCCCCTCCTGCCAGTGCTTTGGGTCGGGGAGAACATGGGGGTGATAGCCTGAAAAGA